GGTGCCCAGCAACAGGACCAGAGGCAATGGGCAGAAACTGAACCACAGGAAGTTCCATCTGAACCTGAGAAAAAACTTCTTCACTGTGAGGGTGACAGAGCATTGGAACAGGTTGCCCAGAGAGGTGGTGGAGTCTCCTTCGCTGGAGATATTCAAAAGCCGTCTGGATGTGATCCTGGGCAATATGCTCTAGGTGACCCTGCTTGAGCAGGGAGGTTGGACTAGATGATCTCCAGAGGTCCCTTCCAACCTAAACGATTCTGTGATTCTGTGATGAACAACCTACATACTAATAGGAATATTGAATAGTCAGTCTTTGATTGGCTATAAATGGAGGGGAGAAGTAGTAAAACATATATGATTTCATGAACTTTTTTTTCCCTTTTCTCTGCATGTTCACAAGTACATCTATATACAATAAAGAGTGATACACATAACACACAGAGTACAGACCTGCTAGCATAAATACTTTTCTGGGTGCAAGGAGAAAGACACGATAAGTAAACACTGTACTACTCTGTGCAGAACCCATGCAGAGCTACCTTTCCAGGAAAGGTTTCCTCCTCAGGCTCCCAAGTGGAAACTATAATGATTGATTAAATGTAACCTCCCCAACAGAGAAAATGGGGTTAGCTAAATTTGTGAACCTCTAGAAATAAGGCTAATAAGACTGTTTGGAGAGAGCCTACATTCTTAATGTCATTAGCTTATTTTGCACAGGGAAAGCAGATAATTGACTTAATTTAGGTCCCCCCACCCCTACAAGGTCCTTAAGAGGCTCTGGGTGGGGGGACCTGACTGCTATAGACTGGTTCCCTGTATGTTTTTAATATTTTAAAAGTAATACGTTCTAAGAAATAAATATATTCTCTTTATAAGTTTTACAAGATATCCTTTCATCAGTGATTTTACCTTTTTCTGAAGAACATTAATTTTTCTTTCTTTTACTTCCAACATATCTTTCATATCTCGAATCTCTCCAGCCAGGGTTCCTTTCTCTTCTGTGAGGTCTTGCAGTTGTTTTGTTTTTTTATTGAGAAAGGTTTCTTTTTCTTCCAATCGTAACCTCAAGGCATCAACCTAGAGTGAGTAAAACAAACATATTTTGGTTTTAGTAAAGATGAATAGCACATTTTAGTTATTTCCTCTAACTCCCTGATTTTAGTCACTTAAGAAATTTCTTTTGTATACAGACTTTCCAAACTTTTTCTCTGCTCAAAGAGATTCTTTTCCATTTTAAAATGTAACAAAATAATGAAAGCACTTTTAGCCCTAAAGCATTAATAGAAAGAGTAGAACAGTCAAATTTGAAATAAAACATTAAAACAGCCCTAACTTGACATATACATAAATGATTAAACCAAAATCATCTTGACTTACTAAATATATAATTCACTGAAAACAGTACTTTATATCCTGTATTTAGTTTAACTATTAAAGCCATGATGCACAACTAGGTACTATAGCCAACAGGCAAACATGGACACAGGTCAGTAAGCTGGAAACTAAATTAAAGACGCATAGCAAACAGGGAAATGACAAGGGTCTTTTCTCCAACACACATCTTCTAAGTGTTTTAATGAATGAGTGGGCCTTATTATACTTTCTATAGTAAGCGCAAATTCTTGTCAAGTAAAATAAGGGATATTTCCAAGGGTTTTCCTACACAGGAGCATCTTCTCCACCACTTTTAGTAAGGAAACACCTAACCATGTCATCATGCCTGACATAACTGCTTTTTCCCTTTACAAAATAAACCCTACAAAATCCCCCACACACAAAAAAAAAACCAGAAGCTGAGCAAGCATTCTAAGTACTCAGAAAATGTATGAACCATATTTTCTCATTTCTTGCTATACAAATGCTCCAGAATGCAATCTTATTGTTCTCTTAACACAATTTCAACAGTTCTCAAATTATCGTCAGGAGAATACTTGGTGGTAGGCTAGAGAAAATCTGTAGGTCACCTGATGCTGGCCACTATTTGTATGCAGCTGTTTCTATTAGGAGCTCTACTGCTAATTGCAATTAAAAGCTTGGGTACTTGTAAAAATTTGGAAGTAAGGATGAAAACAGCTGACTCTTTTCCATTACAAATAAGTGGGCTGGGGAGAAAAAAAGCACTGGCCATCTTCAGGGACAGTAGCAAAAAGAGCATCATCAGAAAAGAGAAAAACATTTGGTGAAACAAGGAACAAAGCAGTGAGAAGAGGTAAAATCTAACTGACAGGGTACCTGTTCAAGGAAATACAAAAGCAGGAACTGGCTCTTTGAAGAGTATGATCAAGAAACAGGAAAGTAAGAACAATATGAAAAGATGGAGAGGACCACAGCAGTAGACAAATATACATGGTTCCAGGAGGAAACACAATAAATGTCACAAAGGGGGAAGAAACAAAGAGCAAGACAAGGAAGTGTATATTTTTCAAGTTGACTTAACAATCCTACCTCACAGCTGAAAATCCTAAGTATCTCTTTTAGTATTACCTCTCTACATAGGATAATGAATTAATTTGAATGGAAAAGGTGTTATCCTGCTCAGAGGAGAGAAAAGGAAATAATCAATGTTAAGATGCACACTGAGACAACCTTCAATAACTTGTAGCATACTATTATTAGTCTTAGCTGGTTCAAAATGGTATTCACAGATTTTTTTCACAACTTCCTTAAGTTAAAATATAATCCTGGAATTCCATCCCAGTGAAGCAGATATTTAAGGGCTCTTATAATGATGTGATGCTGAAGTGGAAGTGAAACCTTAAGATGAAATTGCAAGAGAAAGTACAGCTGGAAAATGAAATCTTGTAAGCTTTAAAGCTGCTGCTGCCTCTTATATAGTATAGAATAACAGGGCAAATGGAAATCAACATTGCAATTGTTTAAAAATCAGAAGATCCAAACTTAGACTGACTGTAGAATATAGGGGGTCCAACATATGATGCATGTCCTATATGCTGACCTTCATGTCTTGCAAAATGAGGAGTTATACATTCCACTGAACTAGAAAGACTAAGAGTAACATATTAATTGTGGAAGAACTCATGAAAATATTTGTACGGAAGAGTGGGCTAAGTTGCACAGATAAAACAGAACTGTAAGGGAAAAAACTCAGAAATTAAGCTGATTTGGAATATATCTCTCTTCAGTTTAAAATATATATCAATTTCTATGTCTAACTCAAAACAGGCTGTTATGGTGGAAAAAAAATTAATTCAAAACAGTAAATGCCAAATAAAGGATAAACTATCACCTAAATTCTACTATTAACACCTTTGTAATTAAAAAAAAACAAATAAACAAACAAACAAAGTAGAGATCCCAATTCAACAGCTTAATATGAAGAATATGTTTAGGTTTAACCATCAGTATTACAAGAGTTGCACTGGGCCCATGCATTGGTCCTTTCAATGAGCACTTCAACTAGATCATCCCTGCATGCACACACCATTCAGAAATGCAGTTAACAAATGAATCACTGAGCAGCACACCATCAACAGAGCTTTGAACATGGGTGGGGAAATTTGGGGCAAAACATAGATTTCATCATGTAAGAAGCTTCCAAATACTAAAAGAGATTTTTTTTAAGGTAACTCTTATATTACTGAAAACAAATTTCTAAATAAAATAATCAATAGAAAAATTTGTTATAACCATGAAAAAACATAGTATAATTTAGTGGCTTATGCAATTTGATCCCCCCATACAAGCCTTTTAAGAGCTCTTCTTAAGAAATTTGCCCTTTTAAGTACTATAAAAGAACAACAAACCCAAGCCATTGTTAGTGCTAAGCTTTACGGATCCAGTTCTGCATTCCTTGTGCACTCTCAAACTCCCAAAGTCCAGCCTCCCTTGTTCTTCACAAAACATTTCAGTTTTCCGGACTGCTAGATAACAAATCGTAACTTACAATCTAGGAGAAGAGACACTAAAATACTGTCGCACACCTACTGCCACAGTTGCACCTTGCCAGATTCAGTTCTGTTATGTTCGATTGAACCCGTCTGAGGGGCAGTTTGAGTCAATAGTCTTTTCTTCTCTATCCATCCATTCCCTACCCTAAGGGCTGAGCAGACAATTCTCACTCTTCCTCACAAATTTCTTTCCACACCTCTCTTCATCCCACTAAATTCAACTCAGGGATAGGGATTTGTAGCATTAAAACTTGCAAGAAAAACAAGCAGGGGTAAGAGGAAGAGGAGGTGGCTCTTAAATCCACATCTGTGAAAACCTCTGTGTGGGGAAGGGGAGTAGAGCCCAGTCCACATCAGTTTCTCAGCCCTGGTCCTGCCCTCATACAGCAGTTACAGAGCACTGAGTGGCTGGACCCAGAAGCATCTCCTTCCACTACTAACCATCTCTCCTACTCAGCAGAAAAAAACAAATAAACCAACCCTATTTCCCAAGCATGGGCTACAAATCCACAGCAGAAAAACAACCAGGAACACAAAGTAACTTATACACGGTCTCTACTGCCTAAATCACAGAATCACAGAATCGTTTAGGTTGGAAGGGACCTCTGGAGATCATCTAGTCCAACCTCCCTGCTCAAGCAGAGTCACCTAGAGCATATTGCCCAGGATCACATCCAGACGGCTTTTGAATATCTCCAGCGAAGGAGACTCCACCACCTCTCTGGGCAACCTGTTCCAATGCTCAGTCACCCTCACAGTGAAGAAGTTTTTTCTCAGGTTCAGATGGAACTTCCTGTGAATGAATAGATGCAAATTCCACCAGGAGGGACAAGAGACTGTGCACGGTAGTTTTCTTTCATACAGAGAGGAAAAATGCTTACAATGTTGTAGAACTCTACTCCACAGTAGACCCACAACCTCTGACTTTCCTTTTACTGATTAGCTGTCAGACTAGGCACACAAAAACCTTTAGGTTAGCAAAAGGCTTAGCTTACTCCAGATACATTCCTGTGAATAGTTACACCTTAGATCAATTCTTTCAGGTCCATGATAATTTTTTACATTTAAAAATGATAACACGTCTTTAAGGGGGAATTTCATTCTTCTGAAGGAAGTTGCACACAGGCTTAAGATCGGAATATATTTAGATATAAGTGATATAATTTGTGCTTAGAACTCCAGCTTCCACAAGAGACTGATGTTAATATAACACTACTTCAGTTTTCATTTAAGAATTCTTTTCCAGCCTTAGTAGCTTCAAATAAAAGCTAAAAAGTATGACAGAAGCACAGCCTGAGTTGCACTGTGAAACTGTTCTAAAAGGTTTGAAATGGCCAAAGAATCTCTACCGCAGCAGCACCACCGCAGGCAGGGACAGTGCAAGTGTCGGGAAGGAAAGACTACAGCATGCTCAAACACACTCTTAGGCAACAGATCCCCTCTTCCAATCCCAGTGTTTCCTATCATCCCTCCTCTCTCTCTGCAAAGTGAGAGTGGGCTCTGGCTGCTCCAGAGCCAAACAGGTCTCCCTTGTGGCTAACCCAGAGAGGTCAAAGAGGGGCTTATGCCCTGCATTTGCTGTCTGGGACTCTGACACTTCCACAACAATTTGTAAGACCGCTTCCAAGCCACAGCAAATCCAGTGTTAGCCTTAGGAGGCTAAACTTTATTTCCCAGCTCTTTCTCAATGAATCATAGGTCAGTGAGTGCTTGATCTACTGCTTCAGCTGAAGTTTGAGTTAGGAGGGGTCGCTTCCTAAACTAATGAAGCAGAAATCTTTCACAAATATGGTGAGAGGCTAGTGAACTGGATTACTGACAAAGCCTAGCAGCACTACAAAAAAGGGGGTAAAACATCAGCTGATAGCAGCAGCCTATGCTTTGAATTTGTGAAGACACCTAGGCTGTAAAAATTCATATAATTTCCCATGCCTTAGTCTGAAGCACAGAGATTCAAAATAATCTTGTGAAAACCATACATTTTTCTGCTTTTTATTAAAACAGCATCCCATTTGGTGTCCCCTTTTTTCCCCCTTTGTGCAGAAACATTTTGTTTTTACTATCACATATCATCATCAAAGCCAAGCACATGCGAGAGCTCAAATTATCTTACAGCTCCTGTAAGATCAGAAAAAGAATAGATAGCATGACTTTCAACCTGTGTCATGC